ATAAAAAAGGGGCTATGCCCCAAAATTGTTCATCCATCAAAAGCAACAGAAACGATTAAAGAATAAGCCAACCTTAAAGGAAAATGCCAACCCTTCCCCTTTTCTTTTTCTATAGGGTATATATAATCCTAACCCTAATCCTAACCCTAATCCTAACCCTAACCCTAATCCTAACCCTAACCCTAATCCTAACCCTAACCCTGAAACGATTAAAGATTAAGCCAACCTTAAAGGAAAATGCCAACCCTTCCCCTTTTCTTTTTCTATAGGGTATATATATTAAAGATTAAGCCAACCTTAAAGGAAAATGCCAACCCTTCCCCTTTTCTTTTTCTATAGGGTATATATAATGTAACCCTAAATGTAACCCTAAATGTAACCCCAAATGTAACCCTAACTGTAACCTAACCCTGAAACCCAACCCTGAAACCCGAACCCTAACCCGAACCCTAAATCGAACCCTAACCCTGTAACCCTATCCCTGAACAGCCTTTGACTATTGTTCTACGTTAATACATATGTTTTCTTCCTATTCCTTTCCAATGTAGAGTCCACTAGAAAAAATAATCGGAAGCACTGTCCAAATCTATCGACCTTCTGTACACCAATAGTGTCAGCTAGGTAACAAGTACACTGCTACCAAATACACTGAGAGTTCAACTACACTGAACATTCCACAATCCATCGACCTTCTATACATGGACCGTATCAGCTAGGTAACAACTACATTGAGCATTCCACGATCTATCGACCTTCTTTACATGGACTGTATCAGCTAGGTAGCAATTACACTGAGCATTCCACAATCTATCAACCTTCTGTACATGGATGGTATCAGCTAGGTAACAACACATCTTGTCCAACTAGCGGTCCTACATCTGGACCCACTTCTGGACCCACTTCTAGACCAACCAAAGGACCAACCAAAGGACCTACATCTGGACCAACCAACGGACCTACCACTGGTCCAACTTCTGGACCAACAAGCGGACCTACCTCTGGTCCAACATCTGGACCAACATCTGGACCAACAGCTGGACCAACATGTGGACCAACGTCAAGCCCAAAATCTGGACCAACCAGCGGGCCCACATCTGGACCAACCAGCGGGCCAACCAGCGGGCCCGCATCAGGACCAACTTCTGGACCTACCTCTGGCCCAACTTCTGGTCCAACATCAGGTCCAACTTCTGGACCAACATCTGGTCCTACATCAGGACCAACCCCTGGACCTACTTGACAGATCACTTTTATATTAAATGAATACACTATCTCTTGAGATTCTGGTTCTCAGTGTTGGAGAAGTTGAAAAGTCATAGTCAG